GGGCCCTTCTCTCAAATGGAATGCAGTATCAATGTGAAAATATTGTGTAAAAACAGTTTGATCAACTATCAGAGTCTTCTCCACATGTGGTGTGGGGCAAGCCAATATACCCCAAGCATAGTGTTCTTTTATGGTTGATCATTTTGGATCATATAGTCACTAAAAAGACGTTGAATGCATGTAAGTTAATTGCAGAAGTTAGTCATCCTCTCTATCATAGAAGAGAAGAATCATGTGATAATTTATTTGGCACTTGTCCATTCTCTAGCTGTGTTTGGACAAGTGTGTTGCAGTTGATATGTAGAATCCCAGAGTTCGACACCCATGCACCTAAGATGAGGGCTAATAAATGGAAGGGTCGTAAGGATAGGTCAGTGGTAGGGTGCTTACTCTAGAGTGTGGCGCTAAGTCATATATGGAGGGAACGCTATGCTAGATTGTATGGAAGCCGAGGATGGTGTTCACCCATGCATGTTGTTGCTCGTATTTTGCAGGATTGTCGAATGTTTGTGGAAGGAAATTTAACGGGTTAATTGCATGGCTGGTCACTGAGATTACAAAAAACATTCAAGTTTGGTCACTCGAAATATTTAAATCCATTGGTGGTAATTCACTATACAAAAACCGTTCACGTTTGTTCACTCTCCGTTAGCTGCCGTCTATCTCCGTTAAAGGAGTCCGTTAAGTGATGACGTGGCGGATGGAATCATCTAATCAGCACTATTTAACCCGAAAATAATCTAACCCGACCCGCCACATCATTGAAACCCTCCAGCTCATCTAAACCTACCCAACCCTCTAACCAAACCATACCCAACCCACCAACCCAACTACCACCAAGATTAAATCCCTAAATCAAAGAAAAATCAAAACCTTCCCCTTCTTTCATGGCACAAGGGAAGAAGTTGGAAGTTTTCAGCCAGGAAACAGCGCAGCTCTCATGGAACATATGCCCACAAGGCATTCGAATTAATTGTTGGATCCCGCCATCGCTGCTACTACCCACCATTTCCTCCAAGCAAATCCTGCAATCCTCTGTCACGCCACCGGCTTCCACCCTTTCCAGCCCTTCAATCGCAGAATCGGAAGCAAAGGTCGTCCTGAACCACTGGTCGACGGCGAGATCGGGTGCACCCTCGTTCAATGGCGGCGGGATGACGTCGAAAATCAGAATGCTTTCTTCTTCCGGATCGTGCTGGACGAGGATGCGCCTCTCCTGCTGCAAAAGGTAGTGGTTCCCGAAATTACCTACTGCAGGGGCCATGAATAGGAGATCGAAATCACGCCTCCTCCTTGTAGTTGGGTTGCGGCGCTGAAACTGTTCCCTGCGAAATCTTCCCGGCGTCCCCGGAAATCGATTGATGGTGGGGCAACGATTGTGGGGAGGAAAGGTAGCATTACCAATCATGACTTCTTCAACGGGATCGTAGTGAAAACCAGTCGCCAGGAGATTTTCCCCGACACCCGTCGTTGTTCGGCTCATGGGTCGGGAACAAGGTTATCAACCCGCGGGTTGACCCGGACCCGGTCGAGCTAGTGGGTCAAGGGTTAATGGGTCAACTGTTTAGCCCGGTTTGGCCCGGAAATATAGAAAGAGTCATTATATTGTACTTATCCTCATAAATTATATAAAATCTTATCTAACATATGAGTTATAACATATAATATTACACCAAAATAACATATCGTACTTTGATTCAACATATAATGAAAATTCACACACACATATATAACATAAATATTCAAATGTTCAACTTAGTATTCCAAAGATTGAGTTAGGCGAAAAGAAAAATTGGAAAATAGGCGCATTTCGCAAACTAAAGAAAAAATGACACAATTTGACCTCCAACCCGGTACCTAATAGCGGTCGGCCCGGCGGGTGCGTGCGGCCCGTTTTTCTCACCGGGTTAGGGTCAAATTTGGTCGACCCGTGGGTCAACCCGCGGGTTGACAACCTTGGTCGGGAACGATGGATCTTCTGGGGATTTTCACTAGAATGGGGATTGTTTCGTTACTTCCAATGTCAACACTCTGAATTGCTGATGAATAACTGGATTCCTATTTAACGCCCTAAATTTTTAAAATTTTCGCCCTAAACTTATCCAAACAGACGATTGTACCCCCAATACCTAAAAGCTTCCGCCCTCAATCCTCATAACGGTAGCCCTAATTTTGCTCTTCTCCGGCCCATCGCCACCGCCACCACCACCTCCACCTCCGATGCTGCGCCGCTCGAGGCCAATTTCGATTGCTTGGGTTACTTTGATCTGAACTTTTATTGACCACACCCGCATCTGTAGCCCTTCTCCGTCGCTGATTGTTTCAATCAAATTCCTTCTTTCGGGAGCTGCAGAGGTGGGTTGCGGCTGCAGTGGGCGGGGCAGAACATGAGAGAAGGCGACACCCCGCTCCTCTTCTCATCGGAGGGTTCCTATTCTCCTTCCTCAGCACCGGTGAGGAATCCGACAACGACTGAGCGAGGGTGGCAGCGACGGGTGGAGCAGAGGACGAGCGTGAGAGGGAGGGTCATTGAAGGCAGAGGCGCCCTGTTCTCCTTCCCCAGAGTCGCTGAGAAATCCTGCACCGACTGAGCCAGGGCGGCGACGACGGCGAGGGGCGGAGCCGAGGAAGAGCCGCAGAGCGAGGGTGAGGAATTTAGGGCGATAGGAACTTTAGAGATTAAGGTTAAATGTGTAATTTCATTTCATTTTAGGGCGATGATTTTTTAATTTTAGGGCGTTAATTAGTAACTCTCATGAATAATGCTATGGCCGACCTAATTTAATGGAATGAGAAGGTGTTGATTTTTTTTTATTTTAGGGATTTCATCTTGGTAGGTAGTTGGGTTGGTGGGTCGGGTCTGGTCTGGTTTGGTTAGAGGGTTGAGTAGGTTTAGATGAGCTGCGGGTTTCAATGACATGGCGGGTCGGGTCAGACTATTTTCGGGTTAAATAGTGCTGATTAGACGATTCCGTCCGCCACGTCATCACCTAACGGACTCCTTTAACGGAGATGGACGGCTAGGGATGGCAACAAAATCCGAACCCATGGGTACCCACCCGACCCAACCCGGTCAACGCGGGTAAAATCCGTGTTGACGGGTTTTGGGCCGGGTTTGGGTTTAAACCCGTTCACTATTCACCGGGTTGGGTTGGGTTTGGGTTTAGGTAAACCCGGCCCGTGGGTACCCGCCCACTCATATAATTATTTTTTTGGTATATTTAATATTCTAAACAACTAATCTTATTTATATTTGTGGAGACATGTCTAATTTTTTCATTTTAATTGTGTAGAATTAAGTTGATGTTATGGAGTGGAGAGTAAAGAAACTTAATTGAAAGGAAGAAGTTTTCAATTAAACATGTTATTTATGGATAATTTGTGATTTGCTTCAATTTTCTTAAGTTTTCTAGATTGGTGTTGAACAATTTGTATAGTTAATTTGTGATTTGCTTGAATTTTCTAGAATGGTGTTTTATATATAGATAATTTTGTATTGAGAGATTGATATTTGACTTTAATTTTGATAAGAACTTGTAATTGTAAATTTTTTATGACAAAACCCGTGGGTACCCATGAACCCGCGGATACCAACGGGTTGGGTTGGGTTTGAGTTCAAACCCAGTGGGTTTTACCCCGGGTTTTTTTCAAAGACAAACCCATGGGTTTGGGTTTGGGTTTGGCAAAACCCGACCCAACCCGACCCATTGCCATCCCTATGGACGGCAGCTAACGGAGAGTGACCAAACGTGAACGGTTTTTGTAAAGTGAAGTACAACCAATGGATTTAAATATTTCGAGTGACCAAACTTGAACGTTTTTTATAATCTCAGTGACTAACCATGCAATTAACCCTAATTTAACTTTGAGAGTAATAGTTTATATATGTTGTTAGTTGTTTTGTTATTAGTAGTATGATTTTGGCTTATATGCCTATATGCAAAACAATAAGAGGAGTTTAATGCTAATTGCATCTCTTGGACTTGATGACAATTTTGATTTAACCATAAAAAGTGACAAAATCAACACTCAATTGCTTCCGACAAAAAATATTTTTTTACCCTTTCCCACTTCCCCTATTGTGACACTACAGCTAAATTACTAAATTTTTCTTTAAAATTCCCACCTTCCCATCTAGTTTGGGTGGCTAACAATTATAGTTAGTAAAATACGGTACGGGAAAGTTACGTAAAAGATACGCACGGGCATTATACTTCATCTTTAAGCTAAAATTACGTTTAATAGTACGTTAATAGTCATAAATATATAAAATTAATCATTTTAAAAATAAATAAATATATAAATAATAGTAAAGTTAACAATTTAATTCGTAAAATACGGATAATAAACGTTTTATACGGGTTTTATACGTGTTTAGTACGGGAACCATGAAATTAACGGGGGAAAATGAAACGGCTTGACAATAATACGGATACGGAAGTTTTAAACGGATAAAGTACGTACGGGTACATATACGTGTATTAAACGAAGTATTTACTAACTATTAGGGATTTTAACAAATAAGCTAACCGATTAATTTGGTTATTGGTTAAACCAATAACCTATAAGACGTTAATGGTTTGTCTTTCGGTAGGGGTTTTTGACCTATTAATTAACCAATAACCTATAAGACGTTAATGATTTGTCTTTCGGTAGGGGTTTTTGACCTATTAATTAACCAATAACCGACCTAGCACTTAGTGGTTAATCGATAAGTCTGATTCCCAACTAGCTAATGCTTCTCCCTTCACTCAACAGTAACACGATGGTGGAGCTCGTTAGCATCAACGTGACAAAAGGCAAGCAGTCATAGCCCAATAACTTGGAGAAGGTGTTTGCTGCTTGTTAGCGATTAACCGTCAAACTAACCACTAACCGAACCGATAAGTAATGGTTAATAGATAAACTTTATTGGTTCGGTTTTCGTTAAGAAAAATTTCACTTACCATTATATCGGCTAGTGATTAACCAAAATCAAACCGATAACCACCCCTACGGCCCTACTTGATGGCTCGAATTGAGACTCTAGTCACCAATGGCAAACCCAACCCATCTGTCAATTTCGGGTATCTGAACGTAGCAAGGCTAGAAAGCTAATAAACCAGCAAAAGGTTCCGATAATCCTGTGAATTTCCTCGGTCAGCCGCCGATTATCTGAAGCAAGTAGAGATGGCGGTGGCAGTATCGGGGCTATGGTGTCCCAATCCAACTATCAGCAGGATTCCCACTCTTGAAAGCCGACGCATGTCAGTTAGGTCTGGACCGCTCGCCTCCGTTGCTTCTCTCTCGTCTCCGCCTCCTACCATCCAGGCAAGAACTTGTTTCGCTTTTGCAGCAATGTTTCATTTTCGCTTCCTTGAGTCTGAAAGCGACAAATTCCTCGATGGTTACTTTAACTTGGGCAGATTGTCGGCGGGAAAGCTCCGAGTTGGTATGGCGATGGAGGTGCTAGTTCTTCCAACAGTTACGGACTGGTGGATGTCGAAGGAGACGAAGATATTGATTGGGTTAAAATGGAGGCCGACCTCTACTACTGGACCAAGGCACTTCGTCCTGTTCAGGTACTGAAAATTACCTCGTTGCTTTATCCATGGCGGCTGGGGAGGAAATGAATGTTGAAGAAAGTTTTCTTATCTGAAGTCTGGGAAACTATGCAGTGGTATCCTGGTCACATTGGGAAAGCTGAAAAGGAACTGAAAGAGCAGCTGAAACTGATGGATGTGGTGATTGAGGTTCGTGACGCCAGAATTCCCTTGTCCACCACCCATCCAGAGGTTTGAATTCTTTTCAATATTTATGATTGTGAATTCCGTGGCTCCATTCTAGTTTTGAGCTCAGGGGTTTCAGCAACTTTCCATTGCTGTGTCTCATGTTGAGCCCAGATGGATTCTTGGCTCGGAAATAGGAAGAGGATCTTGGTTTTGAACAGAGAAGACATGATATCCAAAGCTGATAGGAATGCTTGGGCAGCTTATTTCTCTAGGCAGGGAATGAAGGTTATTTTCGCTAATGGCAAGCTTGGAATGGTGTGTAACTATTTCTTACTCTTGAGCCATCCTCATTCTGCTTGAAGTGAGCAATTGCTTCTGTATATCAGAAGCCATGAACTTTTTTGTGGGTACGATTAAATGTAGGGCAGTACCAAGCTTGGGAGGTTAGCAAAGGATATGGCAGCGAATATTAATATTAAGCGCAGAGCAAAGGGTCTTCTTCCTCGTGCAGTAGGTTTTCTAACGACTATCGACAGCAATCTTTGGTTACTTTCGCTGAATTCTTTGATTCCTATTCATAATATTTTTTCTATGATCCAAACGGGGTTGTCCGTTACATAATAATATATTTTTTACAGTATCCATTACATGAAAGTATGATCATTGATAGTTTTGATAAGAGATACTTTTTCCTCATTTGGTCAGGTTCGTGCTGGAATTGTTGGGTATCCAAATGTGGGGAAATCCTCTTTGATCAACCGGCTACTGAAGCGTAGAATGTGCCCTGCCGCCCCGAGACCTGGAATCACAAGAGATCTCAAGTAAGTAGTTACCTGGAGTAAATACCCTCCTGCTAAGTTACTGCCTGAAGGAATTAACGGTCTATGGGTTATGTTCCTTATAGCATATGACGTTCCTTGCATGCTGAAAAGCTCAAATGATAACTGAGTACTAAAGTTTTGTTTTAACAATTATGATCGAATTGTTACAAGATAACCTCCCAGCTAAGGGTTAGTTTGCGCTTCAGGAATATATGTTGAAGGACAAGAGACTTATCCTCACATTTCTGCTTTGACTGCATGTGGCATGTTTCCTCAAAAGATGGGTTCGATTTGGCAAAGATCTGGAGTTGTTAGATTCTCCAGGCATTTTGCCGATGCGAATAAGCGATCAAACGGCTGCCATAAAACTTGCTATGTGTGACGACATCGGAGAGAGATCTTATGATGTCGCTGATGTTGCTGCAGTTCTTGTGCAGATGCTAATAAGAATTCCATCAGTTGGTATGTTAGGCCATTTATTACTTCTGTCCATCTGTTCATACTGTCTTTCCTCTAACTTGGAACTTTCTTCCTTTTTTGCAGGTGCAAAAGCGCTTCAGGACCGCTACAAGATTGATAATGATTGCCTCTGTGGTAAAACGTATGTAAATATTCCATTAGTCCCTTTTATCATCTAGACTATTAGGAGGCTTTTCACCCCTTTCTGTGCTGAGATGACAAGGTTTAGAGTCTCCTCGTACGGGGGATTCAACCTTTTGGCGGTTTTTGGTTGACCTGTACAATCAGCAATCATCCAAGAGGACTTGGTTAATATAATCCTGTTTTTGCATGAAATAGAAAAGAGTTGGTTCTGATGGGTTATTAGGTGTTTATTTCGTTATTTACTCATCTGAGCCTGCTTTTGTTGCTTTCCCCATTGTGCAGATTTGTGCAGAAGCTTGCACTTCACTTGTTCAGTGGAGACACGCACCAAGCAGCATTCCGCATCTTGGCCGATTTTCGGAAAGGGAAGTTTGGTTGGGTTGCGCTCGAGAGACCACCTAGATGAAGCTTTCTCCAGCGTTGAACTTTCTGGATCCTGCAAACTCTTCCATCACCTGTCTTCGGAGGCCTATACGAGACAAGACGAAGAGATGGCTTATCTAAGATATGTATGGTACGTTATGTATGGGCGGATAAGCAGCCATCCTCCATGGAAGAAAGTGAAGTTCTGTTGGATCGAACTGGTTCTGGAGATACGATGGACAGTGAAAAATGGGCGGGGAAGTGAATTAATTATAGTGAAAATGACCACGTCTACATGAGCAAGCCAATATGTGTATGGGCAGTGTGTTGTAAATTTTCCTAGATATGCTTGGACTGATGAAGGGCTCCTCTGTGATGTGAACGGAGGCGCTCTCTTTCCGTCATGGTGCAGTTTTTTTCTGTGATAATTGTGTTTTCCTTGTAGAATATGTATGATATGTTTCACATGTGATTGGCAGTTGGCACCTTTGAAATCGACAATCTCCACTGTAGTTATCATGTTGAATGGCTGTAGAGTGCAGAGACCAGAGAATTTGAGTTGGTGGATATGGAAAACGTCGGCACTAGCAGACAGGAGTAAATGCGGCACCGATTGTGGCGCTAAGCCGCCAACTAAAAAGATCGATGCTTTTAACAACCCAATCGTCAGTGTAGAAGTAAAGTTCAAAATCAGAGGAACAGAAACAAACACTCAAACAGCAATAAAATTCCGTGAACTCTGGAGTTTCTCTCTCAAATCTATACAACAACAAGAAGGAATGACTGTGATGAGGGGAAATGAATAACTAGGCACCACATGCCAGTGCAAGTAAATTGACAATTCAAATAGTCTCCAAAATCTGCTAACCTTTCAATATGCTTGTCCAGCTCTACCTAGCTACAACGCCCAACTTTCAATGAACAAATCAATGTGGGATCGACCGATCGAACAGTACCAGTGCAGTAGGCACTAGTCTTACAGAAACCATCTTCATCTTGCAATTGCAGGAGCACAAGTGGGTGCCGAATCCTCATTGTTCGACCAGGTCTCCTTGATTCGACAAGCTTGAATCGACCGTTCAATCTGAAGCACGTCCGTGGCTTCTAGTCTATCCAAATTACAGCAGTATCTCTCAAATGTGGTGGTATTTACCTGAAGTCTGAAATCTACACTAAACAAAAACTTCATTTCCAACTTGTTCAGCTCCCCTGTGCTTATTCCTCCTACTTTGGCATAGTACGCATTGTTGAAGAATCTGTAAAACGTTTACTTCCAATTATTACCAACTCACAAACTGAATTCATCATCAGAATATATTTGCACATAAACAAAAAAAACACTCACGCATCATCGACGAATTTAGCTGCAAGCATGATGCTGGTGATGAGGAGGCGGTGGGCATTTAGCGACGTTAAGTGTACATTGGTCTGTTTGACAAATCTATCCAAGTATATCTGTGCAACAACAAAACAGGAAGGACTGCAGCAAGAGTACTTGAAGATGCGTTCAATGTACTGCTGAATGCTCACTGGTGGTGCTCTCAAGCCATGGAAAACAGTGATCACATCTTTGATCTCATTACTCTCCAGTAGCATCTCATTCTTCTTAACCAATCTCTCGAGAAGCGACGAAACAAGTGCTAGAACACGAGGAGGGGATCGATTACACGATGATCCTTTCCCTGCTTCCCTGAGCCCCAGCGACAAGTACAAAACATCCCGGTTCAGCACCCGGTCATCAGTTGACAGAGTTCCCATATGTGAAGATGATTACACACACAGCAACTCTCAAACCCTGCAGAACTGGGAAAACGATTCACATTAAGCCTCACTGAATTCTGCAGGCAATATACAAGTGAGAGCAAGCACCAAAATTCTATGTGTATCCAAAAGTAAAACGTTAAACAACCAGTTGTTTGTTACTCGATGATACCGAATTGCGAGGGAAATGGGGTCAATCCAAAACAGAAAACCACAAAAAGGGGAAAAGAGAGCGTCAATCCATTAAATCAACGCAGAAGAATGTATTCCAGTGAGAGCAAGTCCAGATCTTGCAGGCGGCGTTGATAATGATACCAGCAGCTTTGAATTCAGACCAGACCCGCAAAGCAAAAGAAAGAGCGTCTAAAGATTTCACCTAACAAATGAAACTACAACCCAGCAGAAGAAACCTAAAGAGAATTTCCAAAATTGGGTAGAAAGCTGAAACCCAAATGGGGAATCTAACCAGAAAAGAAAATTAACTTACAGATAAGGTCACCCTTTGGTGGATTACTGAAGATAGTGAGCAGTCGGTGGGTAGCGAGTAGAAGAAAGAAGAAGATGCGGCGAACATAGACTAACGAACCCACCGACACCTTCCCAAAGCGGAGGCTAATTGGTCATAGGAATCCCGCCATGTCTGGGCATTTTCTTTTGCTGCTCGCTAAACCCACAGTGGGTCTTTCTTCTTCACGCTTTTTCCCCCTTCTTCAGGATGTAGAGAGACAGGTGAAGTGAGATGGGTTGGGTTCCAAGGAAAGCTTATTAGTAGGGAAGAAGAAGAAGAAGAAGAGTGTATTTTAATGTTGGGTATGTGGGGGAGGGAAGCTAATCACGAGGGAGTAGAACAGAAAAAGGAGGGAAGTTTCTCTCTCCCAGCAACGCCACGTTAGTTAAAGTTGAAACTGAAGACGCCATTGCTTTTTCACCTCCTTTCCTCTCCACTCCCAACCATTAGCCATTTCAGTTTTCACGCACAGAACACTGAACAAGAGACAGGTTTGGAGACTGGATTTGATGAAAGAAGGAAGAAAAGCATTTCTCTTTCCCAATTTAAATATTATGTTTTTGCCCTTTTCTTGGTTGCTTTCATTGGTGTTGGTGGCGCGTGAAAGGTAAACTGGAAATTCCGGAATATTTAGCTTCGTTTGCATTAGTGATCGCAGTAGGGCTAGGCGGTACCTCAACACCCGTATAAATCCCGCACCAAATAAGAGTCGCAAGCAGGGCGGATCTTTGCTACTCGGAGCTTCTTCAAAGTTGCCCAAATAGTGGCTTAAAACATGCTCATTTATAGGTAGTCTGTTGCATACGGACTATCATGTAGTAATTGAGTCGGTCTTTTAATTGTGTCGAGTGTTTGTCGTGTGCCCTTTGAGCTTGTCTTAAAAAATAAAAATTTGAGTCTGATAATTTTAATGACATGATTATTTATTCACAAAAAATTTAGTAAATAGTAAAACACTTTTAGCTTTATATAAATAAATAAATAATCAGATTTACTTCTCTAACTTCCAATTAAAACTAAAAGGTGGAAATCTTACTTAAACTGAGTAGTAACGACTAATGAGTAGTGACACATGACTCAAGAGCACTTGGGGGTGTGGGCTGACTCAGATGTGCATTTCTATCAGTTTGGATTACAAATAATCATCAAATAGCTAGCTTGCATGCAAGTTTGAACTAAGAGAGTCAAAAGGTAAATTACATCACATTTCAAGATCAATATGATAAAGCTCAACGAGTCACTCTTAATCCCCGACTTCAAATATTACGTAGATGCGCTATTGTTGTGAATTTTTACGTACTGAATCTTTGATCTTCGAATCTTTGGTTAGTTTGTTGGAAACTTTCGAGTATAAAGGCTCTCCATAATGACGACAACAACATCAAAATAGTTGTGAAACCTCTAATTAGCCAACAAAAACAAGAAACATAAAACTTGGTTTTAATTTTCCTTTTCGTACTTGAGTATTTTTTTTCAAGACGTTAGTTAAATACTAACAAATAATTCTTATGAATCCAATCCCGACTAGAACAAATACAACAATAAATAACCCAAATAATCACAAAATAATAATAAACCATGAATAATTAAATAAAGATATACAATACTAATTCTTCGAATTGACATTTCTGCTCGATCTCGTAAAAGAAAACTTGAGAGTTGGGACTTGTTTGGTGATCATATTCAAGAACTAGATTATTGTACCAAGTTATATTTTAGTTATTTTTCCACCTCTTCCTTTATCTTTTTCTCTTTGTGTTTGTTTGTAGGGTTCGAATTGTAGCGGACAACGGAATGAGAGCTGCATCCAGCCAACTTCCCTTCTTTCTCCACCCACCCCCACAAATTTATGTATATATATATACATATATAACCTACCCTACCTCCTCCCCTCACGGCCTCACGTTGTCAATCGTTTGGTCAATTCATATTGTTGTGATTTCATCGTCAACCCCAATTACAAATGTCATATAATTAGCTTTTTTTTTTGCAAGAACTGTGAGATATGGAGCAGTAATTAATTCGACGTAATTAAGACACTACGAACATGCAGCAATCAATATATATTTACGTTTTAGCTGATAGTCTGTTTGTATTACTATGGGTAAAATACGGTATGGATAAATCATGTATGTATAGTTTATTTCGTTTCTAAACTAATAATGTTACGTTAAATAGTACGTTAATAAATATAAATTATATGAATTAATATTTTTAAAAAATTAATATTCAAATTATTAATTTATATAATTCATTAAATACGAATATTAAATATTTTATATGAATTTAATACGTGTTTAGTACATGAACCATCAAACAGATGGAAAAAATGAAACAGTCTGTTAATCGTATGAAAACAAAAAATTTAAACGGATAAAATGTGTGCATTCATATATATACGTATTAATTTAGTAACTATCATATTACCCTACCGATTGAAACATGCGTCGGTGGTGGTGACTGAAATGAATTTACTGCTAGATGATGAGAGTAATTGTGAACCAAACTGCTGGAATATAATAATTACTATTATTATGCGGACCAATATATATATGATAAAACAATAATATTTGTTGTTGGAATGTCGGTTTCTAGCTGTGTGATTCATCATATAAAAACAATCTCTAATTGTGTTTAACGAAGGGGTTTCCACTTTTCATTAATATATATAGAAAAACACTCTAAAGACAAAAACAATTAATATATAGATAAAATAGGGAGCAGCATCGAAGATGTTAGATAGATAGAGGACAGTTCATGATGTCCTTCTGGTTGGCAATGGCAGCTGGCACCGACGCGCAATTGCCACTCTCGCCCATGATCCCCGGCGAGCGGCCACACATTCAGCAGCAGCACAATCAACAGCCTGATTACATGTGAAAACTTGGAGTTGAAATTAAAGGGGACCCCAGGAAGTTAAATGGAATTGAAATTTCTCAAGGGTCACCAGTAGTTAGGGCTGGGAAAACGGTTGGCGGTTTGCGGTTAAACCGACAACCGCACCGAAACCGCGCGGTTATTGGTTAACCGCAAACCGCATATTTGGCCTATTTTGCGGTCGCGGTTGGAGATATGGTCTGTTTTGCGGTTTGCGGTTTAACCGCAACCGAAACCGCAAATCCATATAACCGCAAAGCTAACCGCGAAACCAGACCCAGCCCATAATTCACCCCCAGCCCAGCCCATAATTGACCCCAGCCCAGCCAGCAGGATTGTGGCATTGTGCATTTGTGCTTGTGGATTGTGTTATTTGGATATGCAGACAGATGTAGAGGCTTGATGGAAGTGAAAATAGACAAAACAGTAGCTGCTGTGTTTTTTTTCCCATGATTTTTTTGCGGTTAGTTCGCGGTTAATTGTCGGTTAGAGTGCTAACTGCGGTTTCATATGGTGTTTCGGTTGTTGCGGTTTTCACAACCATAAACCGCGGTTCACCGCTAACCGCTTTCTGCGGTTTTTGGTTAACCGCTAACCGTTGCGGTCGCGGTCGCGGTTGGCCAATATGGGTGTTTTGCGGTTGCAGTTAACCGCAAATTGCGGTGCAGTTAACCGCAACCGCACCGTTTCCCACCCCTACCAGTAGTAGAAACTAGGAAAATAGCAATGTGCCGGGCCATTAGAAAATTTGGGGTCGGTTAGGTTGCTAACTCTTCTAACATTGGAAAAATGATATCCTATTAAATTCGAGTTGCATTTAATAATATTGGAGAATTAAACACTCATATTAATTATATTCTTTTTTATTTAACTAACATTGCACTGATATAACTACCATTGTAGCCGTACCCGGAACTCATATTAATTACATTTGTTTTTTTTTTGAACTACCATTACACTTATACAACTACCATTTCAATTGTACATTGATATCATTGCACTGATACAATTACCATTCAACTGGAAAAAGGGAAAGTAATTAATATGGCTTTTAATTCATACAAATTATTAAATGCAACACAAATTAATTACCTTAAAAGCCTATTATTAATAGGGGCTGCCATTTTTCCAATCCCTTTAGGGATAGTCATGCTATCTCACCCCGAAAATTTGATTTTGAAGTTTATAACATGACGACAAAAAGCCTATATACATACTAAAGGGTAAAATACCTTGGATACCACTTAAGTATAAGAATTGGGGGGGGGGGGGGGGGGAGCTATACCACTTAAATAAGAATAGGGCGTCGGATACCACTAGCGTCACTGAAATGTGCATCCGTTTAAAATTCCGTCTATCTACCGTTAGTAAAGAATAAAATATTATTTTTGGTAAAAATAATAAAATAGAAAAGAAAAGAAATCGAAAACAAAACGAAATATATCCATCCTTCTCCGCCTCCGCCTCCAAACCCTCACCGCCGCGACAACGCCCACCGCCAGTGCTGCAACTTCTCCACAAGAAGCATCGTTCCTCTCTTGTCCTGATATCCCCTTGCATTGAAACTTTGATCCACTCCCTCTCTATTCCATCTCTTTGGTCCCCTTGCATTGAAGCTTTAATCCACTCCCTCTCCATTCCATCTCTTCGACACCATTCTGTCTTGAACTTGTGGAAACATGAAGAATTACGAAAACAGGAAGAAGCCTGATGTTCTTCATCTTCGCTCATCCTTTAGAGGTTCTATTCAGGAATTTTCCCTTAGTTTGGGAAGATTGCATCTTGAATTCCACGTGCCAGATCGGGCCTTTGAACCCTGATTCCACCGAATCAACACAGATCCAGGTTGTTCTCGCCGGGTGGCTTTTCTTGCGGCGAAAACATAGGTCAACCGACCTCCCTTAGATTCGAGGTTACCATGTTGTTCAAGACTTCCGACGACTCCGCCCCGGCTAGGAACGACATTGGCAGCTCCAGCTGCACTGTCGAGTTCACCGCCGCCGGGATTTGAAGCAGATCGAACCGTCGTCCGCCCATCTTCTGATTCTAAGTTGCGAGCCTTAGATGAGATGTTAGTTTAGAGGTGAGATTGACTAAAGATTGCTTTTCACTCATCTTGATCACCAAAGATACGAATTGCTAAATTACCCAAGAGAGAACTCAATAGTAAATAAGCCGTCTATAACTCCTAATGCGATTATAGTGATGAGAAACTGTAACCTTCATTAGCGACCAGACAAGTTAAGGTCAATTGTATGAACTATGTTGGCTTGATTAGAGATTGTTCTATAGTCTTTGAAAATCTTAGGGGGAAACTTGTTATGAACAACACTTTCCCCAATTGAAAGCATGTCCATTTTTCATATGTTTATCTCTCTCATTTATTTGAATTTCGTTAAAACTCCGCGGAACCATATACACAACTTGCTTGTGAACACAACTATATAGATCTTGAGTACTCAACTAAAGGGGACCCTAGACAATACATGACCTCATAAGGTTTCATCTACTGAGTTTATCTTTGACCACTTTTACAATAAATTTTGAACAACATTAGTTCTAACTATTGATAG